GAGCCTTTTATCCACTTCAGATCGATTAGGTTTCTCATCTAATTGTTTTACGATGGATTCAATTTTATCGAGCAAGAGATTGAATGATACAATCACTAGTGGTAATGTAACATATTTTTCTCCACCAAGTTTTGTTGACAAAAGTTTAAAGTTTATTAGAAACTTATGTACTTTTTCGAGTGTTTGCCATTCACTATCTGTGATGTTAAAATCGTTCATGCTAAGGTATTTAATAGATCTTGTATGTATCTTGTACCGAATAAAAAACCTAGAATTATTATTGTCACTTTTTTACTTTTAATATATCGGTATTTTGTTTACACTGTAATCGGTATTATCTCTTTGTTTGTTTATCTTGTTACTTTTGAATATTAGCCGCATTCTTTCAGCAAATTTTGAATGGTATCATCGCATACTCAGCAAAAAAGATGTTTAGTCTTAGCCGATGAGATTTGTGATATTTAAATTCCTCGTAACTAAATTATAAGGAAAAAATATGCTTATATTTTTTATCAGCTAAGGTGATACATTTTTAAAAAGTTTCAATACGATATTACTGTCGGCGTAGCAAAGCAAAGATACCTATTATTTTATTATTAGAAAGGGCTATTCTCAAAATCTGGATAATTAATTTCAGAGTGAAGAAGTAGTGTACTGGGAAAGAATGTATAAAATATTTTATTTTTAGATAGTAATTATGACCTCTGAGTACGTGTCAAATTTTTAAGTGTTCTTGTAATGAATATTTTGATTCGCTATGTATGTTTATGGTATTATTCGTAATGCACAAGTTAAATTTTCCAAATTTTTGGTTATACTTCTTTGCGTCTCATAGAGTCTCAAAGCATACACTTGAACTATAATACTCCTTCAAACCACACTCAGCCCTAACTGCAAGACGCAAGAGTCTCGCAGGCCTAGTCTTGTTCTTGCTCAAGTCTTGCGGTTAGTCTTGGTATTGGTCTTGCAAAAATTAGGCAGTCTTGGTCTTGGTCTCGGTCTTGCAAAAACGCAAGAACAAGACCAAGACTGCAAGACCAAGACCGATTTTAGGCAACACTATTTCTAACTTCGTTCCTATTGGTCATAGAAGGTTTTTTTAATGTGAGTTTTTTTACCAGCTATCCAATGGTTGTACGTACAAGTCTGTAGCTTGAAAAATATAGAAGTTATTATAATTGTCTATAAGTAAAAACATACCCCTTTTCAAACGTTTATTTTGTTAATAATTTCGATGAACACGCCAAATGCATTTAACTTCTGGGATAGTTTAAGTCTTAAAGAATCCTATGATTTTTGCTAAATGTGTCTAGCATCATTAATAGAGCAAGTTCAATAGTTTAAATATTTAGCATCAGGGATAAATAAATTAAATAACTTTTAAACTATTTGACCGATCGGGGGAAAATTTCGCACACATTTAAAATACGGTAATTCCTCGATGTTCAAATGTAATAATAACATTTTATTTTGTTAAAAAAAAAATTAATAAAATTTATAAATTAGTGCAAAAAACTGCTTTTTTGCAAATATCTCCGTAAATTATTTATCAATTTTAATTTAAAAATCGGTAAAATACAGATATTTTTGATATAAAAAAATACTATAAATATTTGATGGATTCGACCGTTACTTGATGGAAATTCATTTTATGTAACAATAAAACACTGAAAACTTCGTTTTCAAACTTCCACAAAATTTATTTTAACTATTATCACTACAGCTGTTTCGGCTGATAGCCTTTCTCAAGTGATCTATTTTTGGCTTGGCTTTACAAATTTATAGTCTCTAATGAAATAGGTTGAGGACGGAAGAACTGTTTGTCTCAAGTTGGTCATTCAGAATTATATCTGTGTTTTTAATTTGTTGATTTCCATAGATTCTAACATAGATAGCTTAAGGCCTTTATTTTGAATGTGAAGAATTTTAAATTTGTCATTAAAAGAATGATTATGATCTAGAAGGTGAAGTGCGTATGTCGAATCTGTTTTTCTATTCTTGAAACCCTTTTATGTTCTGCTATTCGTTTCTCAAAGTTTCTACCAGTTTGACCGATGTAAGTTTTTGGGCAGTCGCCACATTGAATTTTATACACACCACTATTTAAGTGTTTTTTATTTTGGCTCTTGTTATTTTTAATATATTTACCTAGGTTGTTATTTGTTCGGAAAGCTGTTGTTATTCCTTTCTTTTTTATGTGTTTGGCAATTTTTGTTGTTATTTTGCCTGTATATGTAATCGAGCAGAAGGTACTGGGTTTTTTCTCTGGTGGTGGAAATACTAATTTCAGGGCTTTCTTGTGTAGTTTTTGATTTAACATTTTATTAATTGTTTGTTCGTTGTATCCGTTGTTTACTGCTATTTGCTTAATTATATTTAATTCTGTCTCAAAATTGTCTTTTGACATCGGAATGTCTGTTAATCTATGTAACATACTATGATAAGCTGCCAGTTTATGTTGTGTTGGATGGGATGATGAATTGTGTATAGTCGTGTCAGTATGGGTAGGTTTGTGAAATATGGAGAAGTCATGTTTGTTTTGAAGTCTGCTAATTTTTAAATCTAAAAAATTTATGCATTGATTTTGTTCTGTTTCTATTGTAAATTCAATATGACTATGAAGTGAATTAATATAAGATGAAAATTGGTTGAGTTGCCTGTTAGTTCCTGTGAAACATACCAGTACGTCGTCTACGTATCTCCACCAATATAAAAACTGTTTGAATACGGGATGTTTTGAAATCTTTGTCTCTAGATGATCCATAAAAATATCTGATAGCAATGGGCTTAGAGGATTACCCATTATAAGTCCTGCACTGTTATTTGTATATATTTTATTATTAAATTCAAAGTAGTCCTGGTTTATGCAAACTTCAAGAAGATGTAATATTTCAGATGTAATTACTGGATTTGTACTATTTTGGTCTAAAAGGTTTTTTACTAGAATAAAAGTTTCTGTAGGAGGGATACTAGGAAAAAGATTTTTTACGTCAAATGAAATTAATCTGGAGTTGTTAGGTAATTGAAAATGTTGTATTTTATTAACTAGTTCTAAACACACTAAATTTTCACCTAAATTCACCATAAAAAATACAATAGAACTAGTTAATAAAATACAACATTTTCAATTACCTAACAACTCCAGATTAATTTCATTTGACGTAAAAAATCTTTTTCCTAGTATCCCTCCTACAGAAACTTTTATTCTAGTAAAAAACCTTTTAGACCAAAATAGTACAAATCCAGTAATTACATCTGAAATATTACATCTTCTTGAAGTTTGCATAAACCAGGACTACTTTGAATTTAATAATAAAATATATACAAATAACAGTGCAGGACTTATAATGGGTAATCCTCTAAGCCCATTGCTATCAGATATTTTTATGGATCATCTAGAGACAAAGACTTCAAAACATTCCGTATTCAAACAGTTTTTATATTGGTGGAGATACGTAGACGACGTACTGGTATGTTTCACAGGAACTAACAGGCAACTCAACCAATTTTCATCTTATATTAATTCACTTCATAGTCATATTGAATTTACAATAGAAACAGAACAAAATCAATGCATAAATTTTTTAGATTTAAAAATTAGCAGACTTCAAAACAAACATGACTTCTCCATATTTCATAAACCTACCCATACTGACACGACTATACACAATTCATCATCCCATCCAACACAACATAAACTAGCAGCTTATCATAGTATGTTACATAGATTAATAGAAATTCCGATGTCAAAAGACAATTTTAAGACAGAATTAAATATAATTAAGCAAATAGCAGTAAACAACGGATACAACGAACAAACAATTAATAAAATGTTAAATCAAAAACTACACAAGAAAGCCCTGAAATTAGTATTTCCACAACCAGAGAAAAAACCCAGTACCTTCTGCTCGATTACATATACAGGTAAAATAACAACAAAAATTGCCAAACACATAAAAAAGAAAGGAATAACACCAGCTTTCCGAACAAATAACAACCTAGGTAAATATATTAAAAATAACAAGAGCCAAAATAAAAAACACTTAAATAGTGGTGTGTATAAAATTCAATGTGGCGACTGCCCAAAAACTTACATCGGTCAAACTGGTAGAAACTTTGAGAAACGAATAGCAGAACATAAAAGGGCTTTCAAGAATAGAAAAACAGATTCGACATACGCACTTCACCTTCTAGATCATAATCATTCTTTTAATGACAAATTTAAAATTCTTCACATTCAAAATAAAGGCCTTAAGCTATCTTTGTTAGAATCTATGGAAATCAACAAATTAAAAAACACAGATATAATTCTGAATGACCAACTTGAGACAAACAGTTCTCCCCTCCTCAACCTATTTCATTAGAGACTATAAATTTGTAAAGTCAAGCCAAAAATAGATCACTTGAGAAAAGCTATCAGCCGAAACAGCTGTAGTGATAATAGTTAAAATAAATTTTGTGGAAGTTTGAAAACAAAGTTTTCAGTGTTTTATTGTTACACAAATATAAATATTGTTTATGTAAAATATGAGGGAAAAACTGATAGACAAAAAATCAAATTGTGACCATAAATTATTGTTTTAAAAGCACGCAAGGTAAAAATACGAGTACTTTTTCATCTATTCGTCATCTAGCAACCCCATCTATGTCTATAGCTTCAGATATCTGCGAAAAATTTTTCGACCTTTTTTTAACCAGACTGGGCTATTACATTTCTCGGCATGTGTAGTTAAAAGTATAAAGTATATCTTGAATAAATCCAGTAAATGATTAATTTTGACTGTTTTGATGAGATTAAATACAAAATTAACATATTTATATTAAACTAGATATTTAATATATTTCCTAGTACCTATCTATATTTGAGTAATTGAGGAAAATTGTTGAAAATGCTACTTCTATTTAATCCGCCCTTTAGTAATTACGATTATTATATTTTAAGAAAATATAATTTCGAAATCCACCAAACGGCAAAATCAATTCCAAAAATGAGAACTTACCGCCTGTGGTTTTTTCGAAGGCCTAATCGGAGGTCTGTGAACCCCATTAATTTTGTGGTATAACCCGCACGCGTTACATAGATAATGCCCGGTACCGTCTCTACGCCAAAGGGGTGTAACACTAGCACCACAATTCACGCACTCTTTGACTAGTACCTCTTGGCTTGGTGGACGTCCATCCTCTATCGAACTAGATGACCATGCTGTATTTACGTAAGGACCCCCATATGACTGCGTACTATCCGCTTGGTGAAGGATGTTAATGGTATTGCTGTATTGTTGTTGATAGGATCCAGTGCTCGTTGAAGCCCAATTGGCTGTTGTAGTGAAGTAGGTATCATTTGGAAGAAGATTAAGCTGCGATTGACTGCTAGATACATCGTAGTTTGTCTACAAAAGAACATTCATTTAAAACTTTATTCATTCAAGAAATAATATGTAAAATACACGAAACTAAGTTGAACAAATGGAACTTAAAATTTGTGATGGTATGTTCAGCTTCTATAAGTTCCTTCTTTTAACAAAGGCTGGAACGACTCAACTTTGTACAACAGAAAAGTTAAGGGATCTTTAGAACTACATTCTTTGAAATTTACTTGGCATTTAGAAGAACTTTTAGGTGTAACTAAAATGGAATAAAAATTTGGATCACGATCAATACTCTTCCTCATATTTTCACAAAACTGAAGCTCTACACGCTTTTGGTCTTTTGGTAAAATATGTTCGGGATATAATAATTTATCGGAATAAAATGTTTGATAGCTTCAATTTGCACAAAAACATCAAAGAAATGACAGGTGATAGACAAAGCACAAGAACGAATATCCTTAAAAATTATATTATTACTGATTTAAAGAAAATATTGTGTCACTGAACCGATTAAATTCAAAAGCTATTCAATGATGAAAGAAAAGAATTATCGTTAAAAACCACACAGGATACCAGACCACCAATATTACGGAAAGCATTCATCTATGCCATCAAACAAACAAAAGAGGCAAAGCTTCTGAACCAGATTATGTATCCATTATTGATGTAATGGTTGAACTCGTTAATCTAATATATTAGACTGCCACAGTCTCCATACAATGGCTGAAATCGACCTTTGTGGCAATACCCAAAAAGTCATATGCAACATCCTGCTCAGATCACAAAGCAATAGCTTTACACAATATATGCTTCAACAATAGCTTCACAGAATATGAAATTAGTAGAACACAATTTGGCTTTAGAAATGGTATTGGCACAAGAGATGCTTCATTCGGCTTGAATGTGCTGGTCCAGAGATCATCATCATCAACTAGCCTCTAACGTCCACTGCTGAACATAGGCCTCTCGCATGCTTTTCCACTTAGTCCGATTTTGCGCCATCTGAATCCAATTTGTAGTCACTCTTTTTATGTCATCTGTCCATCTCGTTGGGGGTCGACCTCTATTTCTGTAAGCTTGTATTCGGGGTCTCCATTCCAAAATTCTTTTTGTCCACCGGTCATCAACTGATCTTGCTACATGACCTGCCCAGTTCCACTTTACTGTTGTTATCCTTTCAATAACGTCTGCTACTCCTGATCTTTTGCGTATAGTAGCATTGGGTATTCTATCACGTAGAGAAATCCCTAACATAATTCTCTCCATTGCTCTTTCCGCAACTTGTAGTTTACTCACTGTTGTTCTTGTGAGCGGTAGGGTTTCTGCGCCGTAGGTCATCACTGGCAAAATACATTGATTAAATACTTTTCTTTTCAGACACATTGGAATCTTAGACCTAAAAATATCCTTCATCCTTCCAAATGCAGCCCAAGCGAGGTTTATTCTTCTTTTCAGCTCGATTGTTTGGTTGTCTCGACTTATTCTGATCTCATGGCCTAAGTATTTATAGGAGTCAACTGGCTCAATATCTTTGTCTTCTACTGAGATGTTTTTGTTGTGGACTAAATTTGTCATAAATTGTGTTTTTGAAAAATTTATTTTAAGACCAACTTTTTTTGTGGCAGTATGGAGTTCTTGGCCATGTATCCAGAGATGCATGGACATAAATCAGGACATGCACTTATATTTTGTAAATTTTAAAAAGGCATTTGATAAGGTTCAACATAAAAAACTTGTAGATATATTAAAAAGTAAAAATATTGACAGTCGTGATATGAAAATTATATCTAATCTATATTGGAATCAAAGTGCCAAGGTAAGAATTGACAACCAGAACACCCGAGATATCAAAATGCAGAAAGGAGTCCACCAGGGTTATGTTCTATCACCACTTCTCTTCAATGTCTGCACTAAAGCGGTATTTAAAGAAGCGCTCTCATATTCAATTGCAGTTATATCTATTAATGAAAAAGTTGTGAATAACTTGCGTTTTGCAGACTATACAGTAATATAGACGGATAACAACAATGATTTACAAAACATAATGCAAAGTCTAGAACAAGCCGCCAAGAACACGCGATAGAACAAGCAGCAAAACTGAAATGGAAATGGGCTGGACACAATGAACGTCTCCAAGACGGACGATGGAACAATGCCATCGAAAAGTGACGTCCATACAATGCAAAGAAATCAAGAGGCAGACCACAGATGAGGTGGAAAGATGACATCAGGAAACAAGGAGGTCCCACATGGCAGAGAACAGCTCAAGATAGGGAAAGATGGAGAGAACTGGGGGAGACCTATATCCAACAATGTAAGGATAGAGAATAGGTTAAAAAAAATGCAAAGTCTTAATGAATGCTGTCATGAATACCTAGTAAGGGTGAATTTATAAAGAACTAAACGCATGATCATGACTAAATCAGCAGATACAAACATCCAATTGATTGTGAAAGATACTGTAATTGATAGTGTGAATACCTACAAATACTTGGGAACATGGATAACATCAAATGTAGACCAAACCAAAGAAATTGAGATACGTACTAAAATAGCAAGTGTATCATTTGTTAAACTTAAAAAGTTTCTTTGCTGTTGGGATAGAGGGGTAGGACTACGCCTGACTATGCTTTGGTATTACGTATTCACTACTATTTTTTATGGCTTGGAAGCATGAACATTAAAACGAGTGCATCTAAATAAGTTGGCCGCCTTTGAATTTTGGTATTACAGAAGAATCCTACGAATATCATGGACTCAAAGAAAGTCAAACGCAGAAGTTACCACAAGAACAGAAAATGAAGCTAAAATAATATTGACTATTAAAAGAAGAAAACTTGAGTACTTAGGCCATGTGATAAGAGAAAAGAGTAAAATTTGGAAGTATGAACAATATTGTGGCTTAAGAACTTAAGGAAATGGTTTAAATGCGTTAGTGCAGAAGTATTTAGAGTGGAAGTGAATAATGTACTCATAGCCATGATGATTTCCAACCTTCGATACAAGATGAAACTTAAAGAAGAAGTTCCTTCGGTAATTGGCTATTCGAATATATTGCATTAATGTTACCATCAATTGCATTATTCCGTTCCTGAACGTTTGCAAGATACAGCCCTTGTAAGACCTTGTATCACCTAAGATATATAGCTGGTTTCTTTTCTTTTTCTTCGAAGATTCAAAGCTATGATATAAGAGAAGCATATAAACATCTAGGCAATTAAAGAGAAGGACACAAACCACAACTAATTCTTCTTCTTCTGGTAGCACTATAACCCGGGTGGGTCTTGGCTGACCGCACAACTCGCTTTCATCTCGAATGATTGTCCATGTTCATCGGGTCAGTGGGTAGCCCCAATATTCTTAAATCTGACCATATGTTATCTCTTCATAGCATTGCTGAACGTCCTAAGGACCTTCTCTCTGTCGGGGCTTTCTTCTAGATTAACTTGTTAAAGCGGTTATTAGGGAGTCTATGGTATACATGGCCAGCCCATCTTAGATGTTGAGGCCGAACAAATCTATGCAGAAATCAAGAAGGGCGGATAACCAGCAAATCAACAGAAATAAAATCTGAAGAGCAAATGGACATACAGCACATTGAGGGAGATACCGAACATAGAACCTCCGATGATGAAAGAGGTAAAACAAGTAATTGGAACACAAAAGAATAACAAGGCTCCAGTTTTTGTAAACAATGTTTCCCTCTGAACTATATAATTAAGGTGGCAAATACCTCGTAGACAAAAATAAATATATGAATCTTTAAAAAATGGGATAAACTGAAATAACAAACTTATTCCGTACACTTTTGCACAGCGTACAAAGTTTTTATTTCCATAATACACAAACGATTTAAGAAATTAACTGAAAATATTGTTGGGGAATAGCCAACTGGTCAACGACGAGGAAGATCTACAACTGATCAGATCAGCTATTCACAGTGAAACAAATTCTAAACAACAAAGAACAAGACATCCACAATATATTTATAGACTTCAAACAGGCTTATGACTCAATAGACCTAAGTTATATCAAATATTACATAGCTGTAACATTCCCAAAAATGCATACGACTACTATAAGCAACAATGGACTCGTCAATAGCAACTGACACAATACAAAATGAAAAACTGTTTAAATATCAAAGGTTTAAAGCAAGGAGACGAGCTGGCATCGATGCTATGCAACATGTTTCTCGAATAATCTGATAAGACAGTTGAATATAGGAAAACCTAATTTTTATAACAAATAAATAAATACAAACTGCCGCCTATATCAATGGCATCAGCATTATGTCTCACAGAACGGAAGATGTGGCAGAAATATATTCATAATTAAAAGTAGGGTCAAAAGAGACCGGACTAGAAATAAATAATAAAAAATACAAAAAAGCCAACACCGGCAAGAGCTATGGGAAAACATACGTTCGGTTAAATTAGAAGACGATATTGAAACGGTATAAAATTTCACATAACTGGGAGCAGCATTAAGCGCGGAATAAACAAAAGAACCAGAAATTCAAAGGAAAATAGTAAATTAAAACAAAGCCTATTTTTTACTCGTCATTGTGATCCGCTTCAAAAATACACACTGAAGATTGAAAATAAGGGTCTACAAAACTATTATCAGATCAATAGTAATTATAGATAAGAGGCATGGCTGATGACAGAGAACGCAAAAAGAAAGACAGCAGTTTTTGAAAGAAAAGTCCTAAGAAAAGTATTTGGACCTATTAACGAAAACGAGGTATGTAGATCCAGGTACAAACATAAATGTACCAACTGTTCAAAGAAGCACCGATCTCAGAATTCGTTTATCTTTAGAGAGTGGGATGGGTTAGTGATGTAGTTAGAATGGGGGCCGAAAGACTAACGAAAAAATCCGTAGATAGTAAAATGCAGGGCGCAAGACCAAAAAGAAGGCCACAGAAAAGGTGAGAGGATCAAGTGGTAGCGAACATGTAAAATTTGCTAGATGTGAGAACCTAGAGAAGATTGGCGCGGGACTGGCAAGTTTGGAGGCATATTTTAGAAGGGGCCGAGACTCTATTTGGGCTGTAGTGCCATTGAATATAGAATAAGATAACTTAATTTTTGAAATACATTTTTCATATACGCCGAATATCATAAGTCTTAAAGTTATCGTCGAATTCAGCAACTGAAAGCAGAGCGGAAAAACCTGCTAAAAAAACCTTTTTAAAGCAATTTATAAAGCAAGGGAAATAAGATATCAAAGAAATGATGAAATCAAAGATATATTAAGGCAAGATACATTCCAAAATAGAATAGCAAAGAATCCTGAAAAAAAAATTCATCTCATCTCTAAATACCTCTTCAAGCATAAGTACAGTTTGGAGAAACTTAAGGAAAATCTCTGGCAAAAGCCAAGATCAGAGGCAATATGTCAAATTTTCTTTAATCTCGCAGCTTCATAATTCGATCAGACAATGTTTACTCAGATAAAAAAGTTTAAGAGAACGGAGTACCACAAGGATCAGTTTTAAGCTCAACCCTTTTCCTAATAGCCATAAACGACATACTTCAACAATGCTCACCGATTGTTAAAGGAAGATTATACGTTGATGACTTAGTTTTATTAGCCAAAGGAAAAAACTCTACATCCATTCTAGGACTATCTGATTACAATTTTCACCGACAAAAACTAAATGTATTTTATTCAGACATGGAGTTAAAACCGACTTACGAATATTAAAAATCAGAAGATGGCAAGATGTAGCCAAAAACCGAACAGAATGGCGAGGAATCTTAGAGCAGGCCAAGATCCACAGAGGATTGTCGAGTCAAAGATGATGATGATTTTATTCAGACGAAAACATAACACTCTAACTCCACATCTGAAGCTATATAATCAAAACCTCAGTTTCACAAATAATATCAGATTTTTATTTATGGTTTTCGACCAAAAGCTCTCCTGGAAAAAACATAGAGAAAAAGTTAAAAAAACATGCCAAGCAGGAATAAATTTTATGAAAACTATTTCCAGCAAAAACTGGGAAGCAGATCAAAATACACTATTACATGTATATAAATCATTAGTTAGATCCAAACTCGACTATGGTGCGATAGTTTATTCATCAAGCAAAGTATCAGTATTGAAAACCTTAGAAACTGTTCAAAACACAGCCCTACGAATAGCTACAGGTGCGTTTCGAACGACACCAGTTGAAAATTTACAATACTTAACAGGAGAACCACACCCAAGTTTACGATGCAAATACCTTTCTCTCTCATATGCTTCTAAAGTAGCTAGTAATAAAGAACACCCTACTTATACCAATACGTTCACAGATCGATTTCAAGACACTTTCTCTATAACAAGATAGATCCACCATTTTACGAACGAGTTAGAAGAAACCTTCATGACCTACATCTTCAATTTCCTGAAATTCTTCCAACAAATTTTCTAACTTCTTCACCAATTTCCAAGATTAATATTAACCTTAGTATACATAAAAAAAGTGTGACTAGAACAGAACTGATCAAACAATCACTCTTAATAGAAATGGAAACTTATAAAAATCACTATAAGATATACACTGACGCATCCAAATCTTCAGACGGTGTTGGTGCAGCCATCCTCATACCCAATATATCCTTAAAATTTAAATTCAATCCCATTACTTTGTCATAGAATAGACACGACCAAGTGAGAATAACATGTTTGCGACTAGGCCACAGTAACTTTACACATAAACACCTTACAGCATAAATAAATAAAAAAAAGATATATTAAAACCAAGATACTCAAAATAAAAGAATAGGAAAGGCCAGAGAAGAAACAGAGGCCAAAATAAATTGAACTACTAAAAGATCGCTAAAATGACTATAAAACTGGATCCTATAATTCTATTTTGTGATTAAATCGTAATTATCTAAAAGCCTTATAAACCTTTCTAAATATCAACGTAAATGAAAAACTAATTACTTATTAGACAATAAAGGTTATTGCCAAAACTATGGAGTAACAAAAGTAGTAAACACATTTATATGGAATATTACTTATATCATATTTACCTAGGTACATAAAAAAAATTACGCGCGACAATTGATTATGCTTACCGGATATCTAGCTGCTGCTAAATTGGGATCATCTTTAAACAATAAAGTTGCTGGAGGTGAATTACCAACACTGCCCCTGTCAACGTATAAATTTTGATACTGATGTTGGGCAAGATACTGTGGACCGTCTGTATAACCGTTGTTGTATTGGGCTGTTTGCAAACTTGTATAATCACCTGGTTGATCTATTTCGGAAGATATTGTTATAGGTACCTCATTACCTTCAATATTAACAGTAGCTATATTGCTTGTGTAACCGATATCCTGTGAAAAGTTTTGTCCCGAAAAGCTTTCTGCTGGCATTTCTACTGTATACTGTTTTGGTTCTGTAAATTGTTCCCTTTGATGCGTTTGATGCAGTTCTTGATACGTTGTTGTCTCTGTAGGCTCAATTTTATGTTCCACAGGACTTTGTTCCTGTGGAGTTGAATTTTCTGTATTAACAATCTCTTCGGTAGTGGGTTCTGGTGGCTGTTCTTCGTTTGTTTCTACTATAGTACCAGCTGTAGTTATAAAGTTTCTTCGTATCACACCTCCACCAGAAGTAACAGAAACCTGAGGTGGTTGAGAGTCTGTGTCTGATGTATCTATTTTTGGTTTAACTTCTTCGGGTGAAGGATTCTGTTCGTCCTTCGATTCCATCTCGCTGTAATAAATATTAATATATAAATAATTTTATTTAATAAATTTAACTTAAATGATTACGTGTTTAATGAAAATATATTTTTAATATTGATATTAGCGTAGTCTGTAAAAATAATAGCAGCTAAAGGTCAATGACTGATTTAACATTTCATTTTAGAAATTCGGTAACATATATACTTATTCTTTAATTGTGTATATAGTAAACATATAATATGAAGAATAATTAAATTAAATTCCTTTTATTTTTGTCACTCTTGGTTATATTTTTATTTTTATTTTATTTTATCGATGTTGTTATTGGCATATTTCTATTTCTTACCAGGTTATACTCTTACACAAAAAAGGGGATAAATGTGATCTACAGAATTATAGACCTATATTGTTGCTCAGTCAAGTATACAAACTATTTATGAGAATTATTAACAACCGGTTGACCTACAAAATGGATAATTACCAACCGGTTGATCAGGCTGGCTTTCGCAAAGGATATAGTACATCAGACCATCTGCTGACAATGAGAACATTGATAAAGAAGACAAATGAATACCAACTACCCGTATTTCTTGCCTTTGTCGACTATGAAAAGGCATTTGATAGTATCGAGATGTGGGCCATAGAACAAGCTATTAATAATTATAGAATAGATTCGAGATATAGGCAACTAATACATAATATATATGAAAATGCAACTATGATAGTACAACTAGACGAAAATACAAATCCCATCCCCATTAAGAGAGGAGTGAGACAAGGAGACGTAATATCGCCAAAGCTTTTCAACCTAGCCCTAGAAGACGTCTTCAAAACTACAAATTGGTCAACCTATGGCATTAACGTTAATGGCAACAAGTTAAACCACCTCAGATTCGCTAATTACATAGTGATTATAGCGAGCACATTCGAGGAACTGCAAATTATGTTGAGGGAACTAGCAGCCAGCTCCCAATACGTCGGCCTAAAAATGAATATGAAAAAAACAAAAATAATGACAAACACAGGTGATCCCAGACATATAACTATAAATGGCAGTGAGATAGAACAAATCAAGGAATATATCTACCTAGGCCAAATCCTGAGACTTGACAAAGAGAACCAAAGTGCGGAAATTACTAGAAGAGCAAGACTAGCATGGGCAGGATTTGGAAAAATTAGTTGGATACTTAAGAACCGCAAAATACCCCAATACTTGAGGGGCAAAGTGTTCAACCAATGCATCCTTCCTATCATGACATATGGATGTCAAACCTAGACCCTAACCAAGGCAAACATGAATAAACTAGCCACAACAGAAAGAACAATGGAAAGAGCAATGTTAGGTATACGACTGTCAGATAAAAAAAGGAACGACTTGGTAAGATCCAAAATAAAAGTCGAGGATATAACAACAAAAATTGCCAAACTTAAATGGAGCTTCGCGGGCCACACTGATAGACAGAAAGACCAACGTTGGAATACAACAATACAACATTGGAGACCTTACGAAAGTAAACGACCAAGAGGAAGACCACAGATGAGATGGGTTGATGATATTAAAAGAATAGCCGGAACAAATTGGAAATATGTTACTCAGGATAGAGACCGATGGAAGAAGTTGGGAAAGGCCTATGTCCAAATATGGACGACAGAAGGCTAAGAAGAAGAAGACTAGGTTATGACTTCCTATTTCCTCTTTAGGTTATGACACAAACGTTCCCACATGCATTAATTTTTTAAGCAGTTTTGGCAAGTCTAACCAGTAGATACGAAAGATTGTAGGAGACGCAATACAGAGCATTGCAGTTTGATTGTGTTTTTGATACCCGGTAAAAAGCACTTTTTCTTTGAACATTTGGACATTTACGTGCTGTTGTAATTACCACATTTATTAGTTTTTTCTTTAAATTTTGTTTTTGGTTAAAATTCTCTTTATCTGTGAATAATTGGGAGGTGATAAAACCCAAGAGCCACTTTTACAAAGATGTTAGCACATTTTGCATTACGTAGTGTTTTTTTCACTCTTTAAAGTAAGAAGTTTAAATAAGAAGCCTGCATTCCCCTCGTAAGCCTACATTCTTGGATTCTACCATGAGCCACAATTGTGACGATACATGTATTGTGACTCAAGAACAGACTTTTAGAGAGAAATGATAAGTATTCGTTATTTGTGTTACATCGTATGCCGCCATCTACAAAATAAATTACATAAATTTGTTTTGGGATAATGGAAATACGTGTATATAGAAAAAACATGCTATTATCATTAAGCATAAGATAAGAAGATGGAAGTCATTTTTTTCTGAAGCCGTTTGTTGTTATACATCTTCCTTACGTGGAACCTTTGCGTGCCCTCCGAAGAACAGTGGTGGCTCTTCTTCTTCTTATGGTTCCTATCCGTATGTTGGATGTTGGGCATTTTATGAGAGCAGACACAGAAAATATGGAAATACTTATTATCTAAAAAAAGATAGAAGGCCGAAGATCACGAGGAAGATCCCTAACAAGATGGATCGATTAAATTCAGTATTGTACAACAGACATATGCATAAGTTAAAAGAATCGACCAGAGAGAGAGGTATTTAGACATACAATACACAATGACCATACACTCCCTCTGAGGAGTCAGGATTGAAGAGAGAGTGAACTATAAATGTATTCTCGAAATACAAATTAAAAACGGTAGGAGACGTGGGTAGAGTATATAATCCTGTATTATGCCTCGTCTGCCTCGTCTGCCTCGTATGCATAATAGCTATTAGGTTCCAGTAAAGTTTGCTAATAAGCTGCATTGTTTTCAATGATTTCCATTATGTCATCTGTCATACCAGATTTCTTTTTTATAACAAATGATTGTTTCACTTTGGGTTTCTGTATTGATCATATCTCAATTAATAATATAACTGAGGACATAAAATTTCAAGGAAATCAGTTATTACAGATTTTTTACGAGAAATTTTCAAATTTAGGCAATCAAGTAATACCCAGCATTAAACAAAAACATAACGAGAATGTTAAGAACGAAAATGGAGAACTGCTGATCAACCTCTGTACGAATAACGAGCTAAGAATAAACAACACATTTTTTGACCACAAAGATCAACACAAATACATTTAATTATACCCGTGGACAAAGATCTATGACAGATTATGTTATAACCAACAAAGATAGGTATACATCCATCAAAAATAATCAACGTAAGATGCCTCAACTCAGCAGATGTAGGTAGCGACCATAGCCTAGTGTTATGTAAAATAAGAATAATCCTGAAATACTTCCCACAAAAAAGAGCAGCGCCAACACAAACAAAAATCAAAGTTGAAGGACTAAATACGGAATCTACGGAATACTTATACAGGAAAAGAATATTAGAGAAGATCGCTGGAAATGAAATATTAGAAAACGATAACATCGAGGAAAGCTGAAAAAAAAATAACATAATTAACGCAGCCACTTCTTGGAGTTGGAGAGAAGAAAGTAACGAACACTTACACATCAAAAAAGAAAACAAAATGGTTTAAAGAGGTTGTGAAGACAAAATGTAAAGAAAAGAAGAAAGCCTTTTTACAATACAGAACACAACACACACAACAGGCATACAACCAGTATAAACGAATCAGAAATGAAACAAATACTTTAGTTAGACAAATAAAAAAAGGAACACTAGCAGAGTTTTTCAAAACAGATGGAACACGATTTCTACGGAACAGAAAAAGAACCAGGGGGAATGATTAGAGGACAAAGAAAAGAGATGAACTAACTAATAAAAACGAAACACGTTCAGAAGAAAACATGGGTAGACTACTTTCGATCCCTGTTTGCTAAAGGTGACGATGATAAACCACCAACACCAGAGATGTCGGCAAACGAAGAAATAAGTAGTGAGAAGAAAAATGTAAAGTAAGTATTAAGAAATTAAAAAACAGAAAACTACCAGAAGAGGATAGAATACCGAACGAATTTCTAAAGTACGGAAGACCAGATCTGACCAAACAAATATTAAAACTAATCCAAAAAACAATAGAACAAAACAGAATTCCTCAAGAATGGAGATCAAGCATCCTAATATCTCTCTTCAAAAAGGGAGACAAATTGGACCCGGAAATTACAGAGGAATTAATGTATTTATTAAATACAACACTAAAATTAACAACCAAAGTGATAACAAATAAATTGAATGAAATGATAACACTAGCAGAAGAACAACAAGGTTTTAGGTCGAGAAGATCATGCACCGACGCTATATTTATAATGAGGCAAGTGCAAGAGAAATCATTAGAATAATTCGTGGAAAGGTTCGTGGAATAAAAGTAGAAGAAGAACTAATCGACCCTATTGAAGCTGGCAATTGGGTTAGACAGGGAGATTCCCTGAGTCCTCTATTGTTAAGGCTGATTATGGATGAAATAATAAAAAAAGTAAGAACTAAAAAAGGATACCAAATGGCAGAAAAACAACTGAAAATAATCTGCTATGCAGACGACGCAATACTGTAATACAAATTGTAGCTGGAAGGTTAGATAATAGAACAAGTCATGGAGTTTAAATATCTTGGTATCACATTATCTATGATTAGGTGAATAGAGCAAATAGAGCCGCAGGCTGTCTAAATTAAACAATATGGAGAAATAAAAATATCGGGAAAGAAACGAAAGGCAGAATTTGCAAAACAGTCATCAGACCAATAATGACATTAGCGGAAGAAACAAGACCTGATACAGAGAGGACAAAAATAATGTTAGAAATGGTAGAGATGAAAACACTTAGAAAAATTTATGGTGAGACACTATGGGACAAAGCTAGAAGTACAGATATACGACGTAGATGTAAGGTAAGAACTGAGTACTTCGGTCCATCCAAAGGTCTTCATCTAATTCTCTTTCTCTCATACTTCGATTTATGCCTTCTCTCCAACTAAGGCGGGGTCTTCCTCTTTTTCGTCTACCATGAGGGGTCCACGTTAGGATTTGTTTCGGGAGTCGTTCTTCGGACATTCTTTGTACGTGTCCATACCATCTAAGCTGTTTGGTACT